CATAGGTTTGAGCCGCACTATGAGTCCGAGCCAAGTAGCTCGAGGGATGCATGAAATAGGGCATCGCGAATCCGATCGTCAATAACTGAAAACAATGCAATCAATGACATTCATTTGCTCATGGAAGAGACGCTTACATCAGCCGTTGGGGCTTCTAAACATTTGGTATCGACGAAAACTACATCAGTGCCGAATTTGGCATCATAGGTGGCCTAGGACATCCCAGGGATGTCCCAGTCTCGACCCCAATTCTGCCACTTATGATTATTCACTTCCACCGGGAACTCTACACCATTGATAGTCTGAGGGCAGCAAAGAGGGACTCAAAACGCCTTACGGAACCGAGCTGAGAGTAATATGCAGTGTAAAGTATATCATCGACCACCAGCAGAGGACTTACAAGTGTATAGTAAACCTTCTTGACAGCGGACTTTGAACTCCAACTCTCCCTTGTAGTCCCATCAGCGTTCAAATCGATGGCCACCTTCACCTTAGCCTTCCCTTTCACCTGTCCCAAGGGTCTACGGCACATCGTCGTTACGCAGAGCCGCGGCGGTTACTTTGACTCTCAGGTGTGTGATTTCCTCCGCTTTGGCATTCTTAAAACTAGCCTCCCTCTTTGCCTTGAACTTCAACTTGATCTTCATCATCGTCGCCGAGATCGAAGAGATCGTCCAGAGAGAAGTCGCTAATCCCCACTGGACATGAACTATACTGCTTAGGTGGACGGCGCACCTATCACCCCAGTCAGTCCCCCAGTCGACTTCTTTCTTGTAATTCTCATCAAGTTTACCAACAGCACGTCGTCCAAGAACCTGTCATGATATGAGCATCACCTCGGGACGTTGGAGTCATGCTGGCGCTCCTCCGGTCTTATTATCCTCCCGTATGAAGTTCTCGAGTGTGAAGTCCGGATCAGAGTCCCAAAAGCTGCTCAATGACCTATTCATCAAGGCAGGGGTCATGAGGATGAATCATAGAATAATTTTAACCTGGTGTAGAGCCAGAGCTGTTTATCCGCATTGTATACATCATAACCCTTCGAGAGGAAGCCAGCTTTCTTTATCTACAGT